TCTGAACCAGAAAGACCTGATACCTACCATATGACTCTTCCAACCTTGTCCCCTCTGCCCTGTTACTCCTGGTACCACTACCAGTGTCCCTGGTGACGGTATTTCTTTTCTTTTTCCTTTCTTTTTTTAGGGGTGTGGTGAGGAGAATAGGATATTATAGCCTTTTCTTGGTTACTAAAGTAACTTTCTTATTGCAGAAAAATCTAATATTACATAAATGTATTAGGTTAAAACTGAGTAGTCTCTCTTTCCCCATCCTAAAACTGCTACTGGCAACTACTATGTATTTTTAACATATGTAGAACTGGTAATTTTATATGCTATTGGGGATTCTTTATTCTGCATGCTTTGTTTCAAAAATTCCCACTTAGCTTTAAGAAAGAGAGCTCAAACATCATCCAGGTGAAGCTGCACAGTACTGTGGCAGGAATTTGCTGGCCCCTCCCTCACCGAAATTTGTGCATATTAGCTTTAAAGAACTCACAGCAATTTCATTGAACTTTCTGAATCAAATGAATCTTCCACTTCAAGGACATGAAGGACCACATCTCTTCTGGCGCTTGGGACAAGGAATGTGATACATGGACACATGTCAACACACATCAATGTCAGTACATTGCACACATATAGGGTTTTTCTAAGAGCTCTGCTTTAAAGCTCTACAGTAATCACAATCAAGATGCTCACAGTTAAATTTCCTGGGTAAGATGTTTCTTATATTACATCTCAACAGCCAGGTAGTACCATACATTCTAAGTTCTTTCATTTCTTTGGGGCTGGAAACAAAATTCTACTTCACAGAAAATGATAAAGTTGGACAACTTTTGGAATGGATGATAGTTTATTTTTCAAGGGCCAAAGAAACATTTTGAAGTATAGCCCTTTTGGCCACTGGCTTTGTCCACTGACACCAGAACATTCCAAGAAATGACATTTCAAATAAACAGTTTCACATCCAGAAAGCCACAAACACAAGAAAGAATTCAACAGCACTTCACAGCAAATAGCCTTCTGCTGACAGATCCTCAGGAGTGACTGATTATATTTACAAAGCACAAATATCTTATTTGATTAACTCAATGTAATTTAAGCTGATATAAGCTGATAGTTTGGGTGAAAAGTGAATCTATAGGAGTTGTAAAAGAGAGGGCCAAAGAGAAGATAACCAGAAGGATGCATCTTATAAAAGATTCCGAAATATCAGAGAGCCCCACTGGACCAACACTTCAAATTAACAAGCCACTAAGGGACTCTGACACGCATGCTGCATCACATATCATCCAAGAAAGAGCATCCAAGAAGAGTCTCATTTTTCTTGGAAAAAGAGATTGCTATAGAGCTTTCTTATCTCACCAGTTAAACAGTTTGGGCATCATGTAATTAAGTAATAATTATGCACCCATTTCTTGGCTTCAGGCCCAAGGCTTTATTTCTTGTTGGTGTGTATCAGTAGTTTTTATTCAGACTTCGTTTGTCACATGTTGGGCCCAGCTCCTCATATGAAAATATATAACGCCGAGAATGCAGCTCAGGGGTCAAGCACTTGCCTAGTGTGCACAAGGCCCTGGGCTCAACCCCCAGCACTGCAAGAGGAATCTAAAAATAGAAGCAAATTCATAATTTTAAAATTAAAGAGTAAGACACAATGGATGTCACTGCAGGAAGGAAGTGCAAAGTGGATAAGGGACATTTAACAAAAGCAGACTACAGATGCCGGATCTATATTCTGTGACCAGGAGAAATTTAAGACTCCAGAAAATTGAGTATGAAAGTAGAAAAAGTAGAAGGATCATTAGCTTCCATCATATAAGAGACAGTATATAAGAAACACTTTGCTTTTATAGGAAAAAATATTTAGGGAGACCACAGCAGCTGGCCCGAGAGTTACATTATACTAATTAGCATATTAAGTTAGGAGGCAAAATAATTACTAATGTGAGTGTTAGAAAAAAATAATTACCATCCGCTCTTCTATTAAAATGATTATTTCAGAGTACTGCTTATTAAATTACAAAAGTTAGTATTTATTGAGAATTTGTTTGGATCAGGCCCTGTTCTAATTGTATGTAAACAATTAATTTGGTTTCCAAAGCAAACCTATGGAAAGAAATTACTGCTATTCTTCTTTCATAGATAAGGAAACTGAGGCCCAAGAGGCAAAATAATTTGCCCAAGGGATACAGCTGGGAAGCTGGCGAGCTGAGAGATGAGCTCAGGTAGTCTACCTCCGGAATTCCTGTGTGTTTTAGAACAGCGGATCCTACTGCATCCTGACATCTACTCACACAAAATATGACTGTTCATTTGAGTTGTATTCATATTTACAGGCTTTTCAAAAATCATAGATTTTAGCTCTGAACTGAAAGGAGAGATCAATTGCTATCAAAAGCAACTGAAATCAGTGTATTTTCAGAATTGAAGGAAAGATACTTCACCTGCGTGTGATGTTTCACGTTTACCTATACAATTGAATTGAACTCAATTAACCGTGATTCAGGATCCCACGCTGAGTATCACAGAATGGAGATTCAGAGCGTTGAGAAGGCAAAATTTTTTTATCAACTTACAGCACATAAAATACTTCAAAAGTTTAAAACTGAGTAGAGACAAACAAAATTAAGTCCAAAGGGTTCAAATGATCAATCTGAGACAAAAAATGTTATCAGTAGCACAGAGAAACCTAAAATCAGATTTAGACATATCTAGTTTCTCTTTTTACTCAGTCACTTTTCTTTCAATCAAGCTGGCTGAACACACTGGAATAAAATTAATTTCCAGAATACGGATCTGTGCTCTACATGTGAAACTTTTGCCTGCTCTCCTCTAGAACCGACTTCATTCTGGAATAACGTGAGGGAAGACAGGACAGACAGTCGAGGGAGTATTTTTAAGAGAAGGGGCAGAGAAGAGAATTTGGTCTCCTAGGTTTTCTCTGAAGGAATGGAAGGTTTTTTTGGTTTTATTTTGCTGGACATTTTCAAACCTTACCCAATTTTAGAAGCAGATGTTGAAGTTATGTCTGTGTTAATAACTCTGGTAGAGTGTGATCAAAACAAAAAAAGTCACTAATCCCCAATAAAATACTCCCCTTCTTGTGAACACACTTATCACTCCTGACACTTGTTCAAGCAGTTCTGAAATTCCTCTTTTATGTGTATCTTTAGTTGCATTGTTGTGGCTACCTTGATGAACTGAACTGATTGAAAATATTTATCTAAGGGGCTGGGGATTTAGCTTAGTGGCATAAGCACCTGCCTTGCAAGCAGGCAATCGTGAGTTCGATCCCCAGTACCAATAAAAAGATTTTTAAAAATGTAAAAAAAAAAAAGAAAATATTTATCTTTCCTGACCCTTTTGGCTTTGAGTAAGAGCCAGAAGTCTCATGGTGCCAGATCCACTGCTCAGATGAATGAAGATGCACTGTAATCATTTTAGGAATGTGCCTTTCTGTTCTATGGCACTCAGTAGCAGGATTTAATATATTTTCAATCACAGTTTCTAAAGACAATGAAAAAAATTTCCATAACTGCTTCAGAAAGTGCCAAGAATGATAGGATAAACACATTCAAGGGAAGGGGAATTAATGGCAATATGTTTTTTACTGTAATACATTTTTAATTTAAACATATACCATATTTTGTGACCAGCCTTTCTATGTGAGTAGTTCCCTAACTATATTCTAAGGTTTAAATGACAAAGGAGATCTCTAAACCTCTCTGTATGTTCAATTTTCTAAAGGGCTTTACAAAAGATTTGGTATGCGCTCAGTGATCATAGGTTTTATTATTATATAGTTATGATGATAAAAGCATAATAATTTGTAATGTAAGATTTCCAATTGGTTTTTCTTTTAATGATGGCATAGAAATTTTTATTCAAACAGGGCAGCTAACCCTGGCACCCTCACCCAAGGACATTTGGCAGTGTCAAGAGACATTTTGGTCCTTACAACTGGGTTCTAAGTCATCTAGTGGGTACAGGTCAGAGATGCTACAAAATATTCCACCATAGAAAGAACAGACCCCACTACAGCAAACCATCTCATTCCAAGTGTCATAAAGCCAAGTTTGAGAAACACTGGCTATTTAGAAGTTTTAAAAAGACTGCAGCTCCATTTTTCCATTTTAAAACACAACTAAGATGTACATTAAAACAATACACCAAAGTTTCATCCAAAATCATCTACTGTAAAGAAGATAAATAACTTTTAATAAATTAAGAGTTCACTAAAAGGAAGAGCATGAGTTTAGACCTAACATAAGCCGTGGGATGCTCTGATCACCACTTCATCTGAAACTGAGGTGATTTCACAGCCAGTGGCTGACGAGGCACTTTAAACCACACTGGTGTGATACAGATAGAGAACTCGTGCTCCAACTATTTCATTATTTCTCACCACAATCAAATTCACCATTTTGACCAGCACACGAAGAGCAAATGTGTGTTTTTTTTGGAAATGTGATCACCAAAATAAGCTGCTTTTTAATCAATCATTTCTTTTTATGTATCTCCATTTTACTCACATCTAGGTTTAACTGAAAGTTCCAGTGTCTCAGTCTGGATTCCTACTGTTGCTATATGAGAACCATCCTTCCACTTCTAAGTCACTCTCTAATTTCCTTCATGAAATATGAGAGGTCTTTCCCTGCTTCTAACAGTGACAGTGTTGTAAGGTAAAGGCAGTGGGGGACATGCTGATTTTCCTTTGCATTTGGTCATGGTTTCCCTACAAAGTCTGCAGCTGATGTGGTTACACTAGCTTCGATTTTATTTGCTTGGTCATTTTCCCCAGTGGTGGATAATAATATCTGATACTTTGGATGTCTGTAGTACATTTGAACAAAAATTTCTTTCTTTAAGGAATAAATTAGTTCTTTTCTGGAAATCAACTGACAAAACATACACAAACCTCAGGAGGATCTTGTGAATGTTATGTATTGAGTTAGACGTGTCACTGCGAAGATTCTCACACCTTAGTTAATGATTTTCTAAATATTTACCGAGAGCTTTAATAAGTGAGAGTGCTTCCCATGATATAAAGGCTCCGCTGCCATCATCTATGGCACCCTGCCCGACATCCCAGCTGTCCAGATGTCCACTGACCAGCACCACCTAGAAAAAATAATAAAAAGCAGGACAAAGTAAGCAATAATGACACTGAAGAGGAAGAATTCACAGGCATTCCAGATACAAAAATGAAACCTTTATATTTTCTTTTCTGTTTTCATGTCTTAAAAGTAGGCAATTACTAGTGAAAAGCTTGACACAGTGGCATTATATAAGGAGTCCGAGGCTGTTCTAATAGTAAGAAAAGTCCTCACCTTGTACCACTCTTTGCTAATAATTCTGAGTACAAAAGAAATTGATTCATTACTGACAGATGTTTGATAACTTTGCTATATAGCTTCAAGCCAAAATGATATACAAATGGAATCTAAAGCTTCAACTGTATCTTCAGTGGTCTCAAATTCTAGAGAACACACATTAAGATGAGAAATTGAAATCAAATGAAAAATGAAAACTAATTTCTAAAAAAGATTGTTTTTGTATATTATACGTAACTTTACTGTTGAATAAACAAAGCGCTAGATTTAAAAAGTAGATCTAATTGAACAGAAAAACTTTAAAGAGATATTTCAATTCATATTAGTGTTAAATCTAGAGACAATGTTATGAATTTTAAATCACCAAAGTTTTAAAATGTTTTTCAAGAAATGAGTAATTTTTTCTATGAATATAATTAAATATTTTTACTACAACTAAGTTTTATAAACACACTTAAACAAGTTAAAAACCAAGGAAAATTATGCTAGGTAAATGGATTATTGATATGAAACAAAGGGGTCTCTACATTACATATAATATCTCAAAGACTGAGAGAGATGGATTGCAGACCCAAATAAAGATTCTAGAGAAGTGCATAGGACAGTTTTGTCATCCCAGAGCAGGCCGTTTCTAACTAGACACAACCACCAGCAAAAAGTAACAAATTAGACTCCGCTCAGTGAGATTGCATTTCGGGAATGAAAAGGCAGTGTGCTAGAGGAGGAAATATTCCCGTGTACTTTTAAAGGACTCAGATGCGGGTTACAGTAAAAATTCCTGTAAAACAGGAGCCACAAATGTCAACAGATAGAAAAGCAGGCAAAAGACTTAAACAGATAATTTACTACCTCATAAGAAAAAGATCTACAAATTGTTAACAATCACACAAAAACGTATAGGAATAGGTTCATTATCATCAAGGAAATATATATTAAACACATGCAGTAGTCCTCACTGGATTTAAAAATGGCAGAGACAAAAAATGACAAATATTGGCAAGGCAGAGGAGAAACTGGAATTCTTGTTCATTGCTGGCATGAGAGTCATTATACACAACCAGCCTTTCCCGCTGTCCTACCTACCACTGAGAATAGGCCCTAATCCTACTCCAAACTACGTGGCATGCCCAGCAAGATCACACTATGTATGCACACTTTAACCAAAAGAGATACACTAGAATGTTCGCAACAGAATATTAATAATTATCCCTCTTCCCTCCAAAAGGAAATTAAATCTGTCGACAACAGAATAAATAAGCTATTCATCAATGGAACACTGCACAACAGTAAGAATGTACAAACATAATGCAAGATAAATCCCATAAACATAATGAAGAAAGAAAGAAGCCAGATATATGACATGTTGTGCATAATTCCATTTACATAAAGTATAAAACCCAATAAAACAGGGAAAAGCTTCCCAGGGTGAGGAGGGTTAGTGACAGGAAAGGGGCACGAGGAGAATCTCTAGGGTTCCAGTCCCACTGTTTCCTGGTGGGGGTGTGGGTGAGGCAGGTGTGCTCAGCTTGTAAAGTTCATCTCTATATATGTAGCACTCGTGCACTTTCTCTGAGAATATTACACTTCAATAAAACAATCAACAGAATGCTATTATACATAGCACATAGCAAGCAAAAAAAGTTGAATTAGTCTTCTTGATAGCTAAAATAAAAATTCCACATTTCTTTGGGAAACCAAGGTTTGGGCCTAACATGTCAGAATGACTCTTTTCCTTTCCTAAGCAGCTGCAGGATCTCCTGCTGCCTTCCATGCGGACCCAGCCTAGGATGACTTCACTGTAGTCACAAACAAGAAGAATGCCCCCGACTAACAAGTGGCCCAGTGACAGAGCCAAATGGATCATTTCTAAGGGGGAGGCAAAAACACAAAGGATCAAGAAAAATACATGTTGCAATAGCAGGAACTTCTGATTTAGAAAGTGGTGTAATCCCATCTGAGACAAAGAGCACAATTAGTCAACATTTTCACCACCCTTAAAGTCATTTTCTCAAGAAAGTTGCAGTGGATTAAAAATGTCAAAATGTGCATTAATGAACAACAGAAAGAGTAACTAATTCAAAGCAGCTATTATTTTATCTTTCACAATATCTGAGGTTGCCTTATAGTCATACTTTTTTATGTCTGCTTAAACGCCTCCATTGTCCAAACCAGAGCTGTTACTTAAACTAGTAGTTAAAAGATGGGAAAGATAGTTTTGGATAACAGCAAACTAAATGAGATCCCGTAGGAGAAGGTTTTTGGCACAGTGCTACAGAAGAATAATTACATATAATTTAGATTATGAGAGTTTAAAAAAATGTTCAGATTAGACAAAATATTGGGGGACTGTAATAAGACACTGTAATTTTGTAACTATTAATGACTCCAAAATCCTACTTCGAATTCAGTAGCCTTTTGAATAAACTTGAATTTTCCCAACTACAAAATCTTCTACAACACATTTAGAAAATTCATTCAACATAGGATCTGGTTAGAATTCCTTAACACAGTGTTTCAAAATACAAACCAGAAAAATACACAAACTCACAAGGCTGAGGCTATTGAAAATTACCCCTAAGTTAAGGTCAGGCACAATGAACATGAATTACAATAACATTGGATCTAATTCAATGAAACACAACCAAAAAAGATACCCAGGGCTATTAGTCTATTCTAGTTTCATGATAAATTATCACCTGGTAAAAGATAGGAAAGTACATAATCCTTTCATCATCTCTGTTGCTAGATAGGAGCCCCAAGAGCAAAATGGTCCCCGGCTAACAGAGACAGCTGTGGGTGCCTCATGCTTTCTCCCTGAGGAAGGCAGGGCACTGATCAATTCCTTTCCCCCAGCTCCCTTCCCACCAGGTCATCCACAGTAAAGAGTGAAACTGTCTCAGAGGACACCAACCACAACAGCAGCCAGAACAAAATAGCTTAGAAGGCACAACAGGAATTCCAGTGCTCTGAATTATTTTTTCAAAGGCACACGTTAGCCTCATCCCCAAGACTCAAACCTTGGGAGTGGAGAAAAGTCCTGCACTGTAGGGCAGAAATGCACTGGGTAGCAAGCCACAAGGATAAGGAATCAGACTGGCTATGGCACAGCCACCTGCATGCCAGCTGGGAGTCTGTCAAGAGTGTGCAGGGAGCAGCCCTCAAGACAACCCCTCACTTCTGCTATTGGTTCTTTGGAGACACTGAGTCCCAGAGGAGTCACCTGATAAAAGATGAGGAACATGGGCACATACAAATATCAGAACAAGAAGGAAAGAACAGCCCCACAAGACGTGTTTTCTTATGAAAATGAGCTAATGCAAGATGCAAGGGAAAAGGTCATGATCTTTGGCATGCCTGCATGATTTCCTTCAGCAACTTTATTGAATTCTTGCTACAATACACAAGTGACAAACACAAGGAGATGTTCTGCCTTAATTATGCTTCAGTCCTGATGCAGAGATGGAAAATAAGCAAACACAATATAAGGGCTATTTTAAGGGTTATGATGAAAATTAGGCAGAAGACGAGAAAGGCAGGATGGTGGCAGGGAATGGGTGAGAAATGAAGCTATTTTAGGTAGGAATGTCAGGGAGGGTCTCTCCCTAAGGAGATGACACTTGAGCAGAGACCTGTTCAGAAAGCGGGCATGCAGAACTAGGAAAGAACATTCCTGGCAGCAAGGAGACACATGGAGAAGCCCTGGGTGGGGACAAGTGAGCGCGCTGAAGCCTGGGGGAGGCCTGGCACGCCCAAGCAGACAGTGAAGAGAGAGGGATTGGGGGCTGCAGGGACAAACAGAAACTTGCAGGCCACAGGGGCAAACCTGGTCTTTCTTTTAACTTGATAATCTATGAGGGAAGTAATAGGATACGTTTCTGTCTAAAAGTCACTGCTATTAAGTAGGGAGGAAAGATGAGGGAAAAGCAGACTATTTCACTAAAACTAATTCATCAAAAGTCTGTTTGTGAGAGAGAATCAGCCTGCTTCCTTCTAACATGCAAAGAGTTACAGGAGACTGCTGGCCCTTCCCAAAATATGAAAGCGGGATAATCCACAGAGTTCTGTTTCAGAAAGTGGAAAGGTATCCCTTGTTATTGGGTAGTAAGAGCCAACACAGTGAAAATGGGAATACTCCCAAAATCGTTATGCAGATTTAATGCAACATCAATCAAAACACCGTTAGCATTCCTCACAGAACTAGAGGAAACAATCTTAAAATTCATTTGGAACCAGAAGAGACCTAGAAGAGCAAAAACAATTCTGGCAACAAAAGCAAGGCAGGGAGCATCACAATCTCTGACTTAAAGTTAGAATACAGAGCTACTGTGATAAAATCAGCATGGCACTGGCAAAAAAACAAAAACAAAAACAAAAAACCAAAAAGTCCCCAGACCTGAAGATCAATGTAACCGATTAGAATCTTCAGAAACAACTCCAGATATACTAAGCTACCTTATGTTTGACAAAGACGCCAAACATATTCACTGGAAGCAAGATAACCTTTTTAATAAATGGTGATGGAGGGGCCAGGATACAGCATACAGAGGCACAGTGCCTGTCTGGCAGGTGCACAATTCTGAATTCGATTCCTGGTTCCATCCCCAAAATAAAATAAAATTAAAGGTGCTGGGAAAACTGGTTTTCCACATACCAAAGGCTAAAACTATATCACTTTGCAGTAGACTAAAATCAAAATGAATCTAAGATTTAAATATTAGAACAGAAACACTAAATCTGCTGGAAGAGAAAATAGAACACTTGAAGACATAGTTGTAAGCAAAGACTTCA